TGGCTGCAGATCAACGAGGTTCAGCCGTCCTCATCTGGTGAGATCAACCAACGAATCTCTTCTTCATGCACTTTCATACGAAATAAAGGTCCCTCTAACAATGTTATCTCAGGAGATGCATCGAAACCCAGTTTCTCTTCGTATCCTATTATAAAGTATGCTATGCAAAATAATTCATGCAGAACATGTGCTGAATGCTTCCGTCCGATACACAATGAGAAAAAAGCTTGTTTGTGACGAAATGTTTAATTAAGACTTCAAAACGTATATGCCTTATAATATGTTTATGTGGTTTAGTCAACTTTCCTGTGCTAGTTCCATTTAGTTACTAAAGAAACAAGTTGGAGACTGATTCCACAAATATATAACACATATTGATGTTGGATTACAACAAATTAGGTACTAAGCAGTGTATTTTCGATTCGTCATAGATAGAATTACGAAAGTTGATAGGGCGATTTGGCGGGAAAACCATGTGTGACGCTAAGTCAAGGTGAATAAATAAGCCACTATAGACAATTTAAAGCCTAAAATAAATCTATTAACGCAGATTAAAATCAATCAAAATTTTACCATTAAATGTCCTAATTATAATTAGCAGGATATATGTATATATATATTTCAAATTGTGGATAGGTAAATAAGTAGCGAAATGACTAAGTAAGAAGGTAGGCAGGGCAGTGGAATTTTGTGAGCTGCACTTAAGTAGAAGGATGCATTGACAAGATAGATATTAGGGGAAGACTTTTATTTCGTATGGAAGTACATGCTGAAAAGATTTGAAAGTCAATCTCACAAGAAGACGTCGGCTGATTCGAGTTGTACTGCAGCCACCTGGCATTAATATGACGCTCAGATTGATGCAGTTCATGAGACATCCTCCATTTCGGGCGAAGAGTGGCTGCGTTTTCGTTCATCATATGACGAGCATCGTCGGAGCTGGGACTTATTCTTGTAAAAGTCACAAGTCAAGAAAACTAACCGGCTTTTTTCTATAGCATATATGCACTTATTACGAGCAAAATTTAAGATACAGGCAAATATAGAAATGTTTAATTAATTCACGTATCTGTGTGTGCATGTATGGTAACATCTGTACGCAAAACCGGTCATTAGAAAAAAGCAGCTCGGGGTCAAGGCTTAATGACCCAGGGAAAAAAGAAAAGAAAAAAGTCTAACCAAGATTGCGTTGATCCGTCAGTAACTCTGGGTAGGTTGATGAGATGTAAGTTTGTACATGTAAAAGTCAGGTTATGAAACAAGCAGTCCGAACCCGTTAGTCTAGATTATTAGGGTTTATCACTCCTTTATTCAATCATAAGTAATTCTTACCCAACTTTCTGCCAACATCCCTCACATTAAACGTATTCCTTAATCTATTAATTTCAATAGCCTTTCATATCTTGTTTTATGCAGACATACAATATTCAGAAACCTTTGCGTATAAAACAATACTATCTCATGCCTAGTCACATCTCATGTGTTCCACCACTTCTGACCATTTGAACCAGCTGCTTTTACAAGCATTTTTGTGCTAGGCTAATCTTTGACGGATCGACCAACAGGTCTCACCAACATAAGGTCGAATGCAGGGACACAACCTTATAACAACCGAATCTTGATAGTTGGTCATATTTCGTTTTAAAATAAGGTAAAACCGGAGTGTCAATTTCTTCAAAAGCTGTCTTTATCCCCTCTTTCCTCAATAGTTCTCCTATCTTTTTAGTAAGAAAAGATTAGAATAGGGATATAACATAAAGGGTCTCGGCTCGTCTATTTATGACCAAAGAGTATCCCTATGAATATTTATTCTTCATTAAAGATATATTATTCGAAAATAAAACTCTCAGTCTTCTTAACTCTTCAGTCAGATGATTTTCATCTGCAAGCCTCATACTCCTAATGATCATATATTTAAAAATTCCAACCTCAGTTTTGTAAGTATGGTTAGAAAGAAAATTAAAAACAAAATCAGCATATACTGGTTTCCCATAAACATCTCTACCTAGTCTACATACGAATCTCTTCATAATGTACTTCCATAATCAATGTAAAGTTTCACATCAATCTTATCTTAGGAGATTCTTCGAAACCCGCATTTTATTAGTACATACATGGTTGATAGCATAAACTACCTGGCAAGAAAGACTCGCCGCGCATTTGCTCGGGAATCGTGAATGCTGGCTCTATCACTGAGCCATTGTGCGTCCAGGATACTGAGCCATTATCGAGGTTGATAAGACAGCCAATAATGGAGCCCTTAGTCACAGAGACACCATAGTCGATAGGTCGGCCTCTGTGCATGGCACGTCCTGCTTTGGGGTTGTTTATCCCGTATGCTGTCGTCAAGTCAGAACCGTATCCGAATCCACAGTTATCGATGCCCAGCTCAAGGCTAGCATCATTTGTCGACCAGCCGATCCTGATAGGACCATCCTCAAGGACTGTCACCTCATAATAGTATGCACCAGGAGACTTGACACCTTTGTTAGCTCGGCAGCCCTAAATTAAAAAAAATAATGGTAGCATACAAAAAAGTGTTAAATAACAAGAGAAAATTCAAGTCTGCTACACTAATTACATGAAAAGATGTTTCTGAACACTACGATGAGAAGAAATATAAAGATAAATTGTAGTGGCATTGGA